CCCCCCCCCATATTAATATTTGTTAATATCACATGTGATGATGGATATATTTGGATACTTGAAAATACCGAGTATTATTTCTAACCAAACTGTAACTTCATGTTTGTGTAACAAGAGAAAGAGAAAATGGAATGGCCTGAGTGAGACCAGGGTTCGAAACCGGGACACTCCGCACTCTAGACAGACGCTCTACCAACTGAGCTACCTGGTCACCAACGATTGACCCAGTCCAGCTAAACTCCTCCCTCCTTTATCAAAATCTTTGCCCCCGAAGACACAACTATTTACAACCCATGTTCAAGTATCACCTTGCTAAGCGTATTCCCAATGCTTGAAACAAGGGTTGGCAAGCTCACCAAATTTGTAACAGTAGAAATTGAAAATGTAACAGCCAGACCAAGGTTCGAACTTGGGACCCTCCAAACTCTGAGACGGACGCTCTATCAACTGAGCTACCTAGTCGACGTTGATCAGCCCAGTTCTGCTACACTTGGATATCACTGACCCCTACCATTCTAATTTTAGCTGAACATTCTTTGTTGTATCATTACTTAAACTATTGGTAAGTATATTTTATCTATGTTTTATTGGTAAACTATTAGTACACCCTGTGTCACCTTTTTCCAATTAAAAGAAACCAATGAAACTAAAACTAATGGACAAATAATGATGAAAAGATACATAAAATAGTACTTTTTTCATTTTAAAGAAACTGGTATGAATCTAAAGCTGAAAGACAAATGATGATGAAATGATTCATAATCAAAATACACTGTCACAATATAATCATCTGTGTCACCACATTTCTCAGAATATATCTGGCCAACGTACCTAACCAAGATTCCAAATGTACACCATTTAGTGCATGTATTTACATTTTACCAAGCAAATGATATTAATTATAACATAGTGTCTGTAATAGTCTATCTTACCTAAAAGGGTTTAGCATGATAATCTAAATGCAATATGTATGTCTTCATTATTGCATAGTATGATACTACAAGACCTATTCACTCCCTTCTCGCATAAACCCATTCGCCGGTACCCTCACCATTACCTCACACTCACAACGTACCCTCATCACTGGGACAAATCACAAGTGACAGATCGGATAGTAAACAAACTCTTTCAGTACGGTATTGACATTTCGTGGCATTGCATGGGCATTATTTCAGAAGTTAGAACACTCAACAAATACCACATGCCATCAGTACTCAAACGTTAGTGACTGTTGATGACTGTTTACAAACCGCAGGCTCGGGTATCATCGGCGGAGGTAAGATCCAGTGGCTGGAAAACGATGTTAAGGTGGTAAAAATGACGACAAAAACTTCTATAAAGTAATGACTATATTGTACTTACACACTTAACTCTGGGAGAGTCTCAGAATATCCAGGTTGTAATATACAGGCTACGAAAACAAGCAAAAATAGCTCCAAGCACGGTCGTCTGTGTGTCATGGTCGCCATGTTGAATACCTACAGCCTCGTTTTCACTCTTATTTCCCCTTTCGGCAATAATCACTCCAGTGAAGTGATGTGAGTGTGAACGCGTGTATCACAGCGTCTGATAGCTTCGGAATATGATCTTACGAAGTATACCCAAGTGTACAGTAATATTGACAGAATCCTCTCACCATCTCCACCTCGCTAGCTGTCTTGCTGCTCACTGATTTAGACTGATGCTTTATAATATCTGCCCAATACCCGTCCATTCTATTGGGTCTAACGGTAGCCCGCCCTTTCCGTCTTTCTGGGACTAAGAATATTATATTAAATCGCACCTTTTGACTATTCTTAAGGAACCAATGAGTCCGCGGCTGGAACACACTAAAAGATTAACTTTACCATGAAATGCATCATAAAGAAAATACTTTTTACAACGAATAAGTCCTATATATATAACGTTAGATCGACTTTCTCTATCTTCGATTATGTAAGATTGACAGAAAATTATGTAATTAATAGCCTCAACTCCAGTGATGGTTCGTAAACTCTAGTTTTTAACTTAGGTACCGTGTCCCTGTAGAAATGTAATGGGAACCAAAGGACATTGTTTAAATCCACGATAACGAAAGTTTGATTAGCTATCATATGCCATTTCACCAGCTATTATAACCACGGAATTAGATTATCCACGGACTTAGATAACAATCTAATCTAATTCTGTGGATTATCTAACAAACTGATCTAGCGTGGTTATTATTGACACATAACTTCGCAGATAACTGATATTTTCTGGTCCTGCCATGCTTAAAAATATATACAGCTTCTGTGGGAAGGGTGTGGTCTTCGCCTCCTATACCCCTACCCCCCGGGGATCCGGGCTTCATCCCTGGAGCTAAGTTTTATTTTGTTACGGACACCTATTAATCAGATACGTATATATATACTGTGTTAGAATTAAAGAAACGTCCAAGTTATCTCCAATACCAGTAAACATTGCAAATTAAATTTCATGTGGTACCAAGGACTTAGATAATTCCGTGGTTGTACTATTCAGTGTTGCTTTGCATTGGACGAATAAAACGTCCCTGTGAGTACTAAATCACAATCAATAAATCTATTCGAGTATGCCCCGGGACGTTCAGTCTATGACGACTGCTGTAGACACTGTTTGATGGGTGTCGTCTCACCTAGCATACATTTGGTATTATGTATGCTAGGTGAGATTTGGTATCAGTTAGAGAACAATAGGATTTAATTACAGGTAAACTATAGTCTGTACTATAAAGTGTCTTGCCATGTGAATATGCTAGGTGAGACTAAACCGTTTGATGCAACTTGCATTGTGTATCTGGATGTGGGAGGGTCGGGTAGGCCGGGGGTGGGGGGT